TTCTATTTTATTAGGATTTATTTGTTGTACAGGGGAATTCATTGTGCATGTTCTTAGTTCTTGTCCTATGTTCTATTGTAAAGAACTAGGAAAACCCTACATCTGCCCTCAAGGTCATTTCAGTCCAGTAGACATGATGGTGACCAAGGGCTGCAATGGGAAATATAAGTGAGCTGACAGAGCTGACTATGTAATTACAGTAACTGCATGAAGAAGGAATGGTTGGTTCTGACCAGAGGAGATAAAGTAAGATTTCACAAAAGAACTTATACCTCAGAAGAACTCAAATGAAGAGGAATTCCCCAAGGATATAAGGGGAAAAGCACATTTTTTCCAGTGAGAGTGAATTGCAAAGTACAAAGACATTACAGAAGAAATAGTAGTTAACTTGACAAAACATACTGAAGAAGAAAGCCTTTTTTCAAAAAATGGTATGGGAGCTTACCGCTTCTCACCCATCCTTCAAAGATACCCTTGTAAGGTAGAATTGTCTCAACATTGGATTATCAGTGAATGACCATTTCCCAAAAGCTGACATTCAGGCTGTATGAGAAACAAGTAGGAGGGGATCCTGACTGGATCCTGAGGCCAGTCCAAGACTTTTTGAGATTGACATGCCTATGAAATAGGAGCATTCACTCAAATTTGGGCCTTAAAAAAAAAAACTCCCCCATATTGCCTAAAAGTTTTCTCTGAACCATGCTGGTTTGGAGATGTTTTAGCACATACAAAGCCTTTGAACAGTTTTTTATCATGCTTTGCTTCACAGTCTACTAACTAGAGACTGGTTCCATAAGTCATTCATATCCCAATGTGATTAGGTTGAGCAGGTTGCTTTGGAAACATTTAGCTTTTCCAAAACTCTGGAAATTTTGAGGCATCTGCACTGAAAATCTCAGATTGAATTTTGCAGGTGGACAGACCCTAATTAGAATGCAGGATCTTCTAGCTAGTTCTATGACCAAAGCCTTTTTCCTTACCTTGAGATGAGGATAATGACACTGACTTGAAGATTAGTGAGGTAAATGAAATCATACATGTAAAGCCATGGCCAGTCCTGGCACAAAGTAGCCATTTAATCAGCCTCACTTCTTTTTGTCTAGTACATTGAAGGACAGTTGGATTCATATAGGACAGGTACAGGACTGAGGAAATACCACTCTCTGTCTTGTCAAATCCAAGCATTCTCTGCCTGACCCCACTTCTTATCCATGTATAATCTGTAGACTCCAATGGACCTGAGAATCATTGGCTGATTTTCCTGTTTTTTCCCCATAGATTATTGGTTCCCTGTGGCCTAGGCAGTAACTTTTCTCTCTGATACTCTTGTACCTTACTTGTACACACTGGTGTTTGGGGGGGGGGCAGAGATGGTTTTGGTGATATCCATCTACTAAACCTTTGAAACCTTTCAGGAAAACAGATTCTGAGGATATATGAGGAAAACACCTGGAAAATACTCAGCCACTATTTTGTGTTGGGGGAAAAGCAGAATGGTCTTTCCTTGCTCAGCATTCTGCATTTTAACCTCTCCTGGTTCCTGAAGAGTTAGGTCCAAAGGTGTCTGTTGTCTTTGTTGGAAGGTCTTTTATCTCCTCTAGAAAGCCATTCCACCTCTCCTTCCCACTTTCCTTTTCAGTCCCTCCCCACAGCTGTGTAAGTCCCCACAGGTACCACTGATCTGTGATCTGCATATGTCACTCTAAGTTGATGGTTTTCTTTGCTAATTCTTCATCAGTGTGTCACATGAAGAGAGCACACACTTGACTGTCATACTGCATGGTCATCCAGTGTATATAAGGAATTACAGGGAGCTTTTTTTACCTGGATCTGGGAAGCATCCCCAGTAGTTTGGATGTATGTCATAAACCTCTTGAAATTGTATGGGAAATTGTGTGTATATGTTCATAAATCTCTTGTGAGAAGGTCCATAGTTTATTATAGGTTGTGATATGTTTTCATGATCCTAAGAATGTTAATAAAAACAACTCCCCCAGCTCATTTAGAGATTTTCTAAGTACTTCTATATGAGAGCTTGTGTTTATTATCAATTTATTGTCTTATCACTTTAAAACAGTGCAGAATTTACCTAATCGTTTTATTTCTTTCATTATGGCCACTTACAGGCCTAATTGTAGAATTATGATGGTACAAGGGTAGACACAGGCACAGTACAGTATAACAGTTTTGCGTTTCCAAAACACCTTCTGCTTGTAATGTTCTCATAGGGAGCACATCAGACCAATGGGTGTGGGTTATGGTCACCATCTCAACTGGACTGTGACTCAGAGAGGTTGCTGTGACTTGTCCAAGTCATAAAACTCAATGTGTAAAGCAGAATGAAAATCCAGGTGTTTTACTTTTCTATCCTGATAGCCACTAGGTTCTAAGTTTTCTTAAGACACCACCTCTCTGCTCCCAATAGCTGTCCAAATAATAACCTGGAAATGTGTTTTTGCTTAGTATGTCTCTCTCTATATAGATACATGTATGTGTATGCATATATAAATTCAACTGTAGTCTAGCCTTCCATTTAAACAATTTGTACTAGAAAGGAGTTTGAAATTACACTTAATCATTGCTTTATAATGAATGTTATTTAATTAAATATTACTTTACAGATTGATTCTCTCTTCCTTGGCAATTGCATTTCTTTTTAAGGAGAGGTTTGATTTTGCTTTTTAACCTGGTTGTATAGCATCAGAAGCAGAAAATTTGGGCACTTTTCCCACTTTCCATTCTTTTTCTTGTGTGGAAGCCAGTTTCCTTTGAGAAATCATCATTTGCAAAAGGTCAGGAGCAAAAGGAGAGGCATTCTTTAGTGTAGGGTTATTGCTAATTGGAAGCTAGACATCTGTAACCATGTAAGTTATTTGTAGTGGAAAAGAAACATTTATATACAAGAACCCTTTTGGTAACATAAAGCACACTATAACACAGAGAGAGAACAGAGAGAGAGAGAGAGAGAGAGAGAGTATGTGTTTGAGGAGTTGGGGGTCAGCCTCAATAACACAAAGAGTGTGTGTGTGTGTGTGTGTGTGTGTGTGTGTGTGTGTTTGAGGAGGTGGGGGTCAGCCTCAAGCTTCCAACAAATGACTGTGCTTTGCTGTACTGAGTGAAATCATTTACTAATTAAAAGGCAAAAGATTTATATGATCTGAAGAGAAACCAGAGTATTCATTTACTAATTAAATCTCAAAGTATTTTCAGAGTATTTTCTTTTCTTTGTCATCTACTAAAGTTTTCTCCCCCCACCCATAGGCCAAGCCAAGCATTTTACTGTGTTTGTCAATTACAGATTACACATTTAGTCATTTTAAAAGAAAAATAAGTGAGAAAATAGATGAGTCGGCAGAATGTAGACAAGGACCAGTGGGGTACCCTTAGCTCTAGTGCCTTCTCCACAGTGTGATGAACACCTCTCCATCCTGAAACTATGTGTTGATGGAGTAACCTGGTGACAGTGTTTGCACTTTCCTTACCTCTTCCTCCTTTCTGCCTTCCTCCTCATCTCCACCATCCCCATGAGTTCATTCTGTTGTGCAGAAATTATTTCTGTGTTGTTATTGTCATGTTAAGGTAAATGTTGGTGATAACCTCTGGTGTTTTAGGAAAGTTTCAGTCATATGACTGGTCTTCTCTATCTGCTAAGCCTACATGGGCCATGGCCCTAATAGACCTGATCTTACCAATAATTTCTCTTGAAACACTAATTTATTTTGAAAAAAGTTGAGAGGCCATCTTGTTCTCCCATAGAATATACCATCTTCTGATCTTCTTTTCCCTTGTCTTGGCATCTAAGACATTTCCGTAAGTTGAGTTGCTTTTTTAAGTGGACAAAGATTATCAAGTCTAGAGAGTTCTAGTCAAGAACTTATTTAAGCTAGGACTTACCATGTTGACTTTCCTCCCAATCAGCCCTAGATCTGTGAAGGCTCTCAATTGCCCAGTTTCAACAAAATGGTTGTCACCTCTCAGATACTAGATGTTTACAAAGTCAAGAAGCCCTAGATGCCCTGCCTTTCCAGTGATCTTTGTAGAATCCCAAAATACCGCTTGTCCTTGACTTTCCCTTATTTAAGAACCAGCTTTTATCCCAGCTCTTTGGGTGTGCATCAGCCCCCAAGATAAGGATTTGGTGGCTTGAAGCACATTTCTTGTCCTCTTAAGAGTAATTGCCATTTGTGGTATTCCCCAGTGTGGTCTAACACACTTCTCAGCCTTAATGTCTGCTGTTTTTCATCAGCCTCCATTTTAGCCAGACACATCCACCTGTATCTTGAGCATATCTACCTTTGCTTTATGCTACTGTCTCTAGTTAAAAAACTTCTTGTTTTCTTTTGGCCCACTAGAATCACACTTTCCTGATTCCCATCCTTCCTCCTTTGACTTCCTGTAGCCATAATGCCAAGATCATGGTCTTACCATTTTTCTCATACTGTTTCGTACTTTTGGTCTTCTCAGATGTTGTTCTCATCTTGCATCAACAATGTGGCACCTCAGAGACAACAGTGGTGACATTTGTCATGGTACTTAGCACAGTGCTTTTTGCTCATCGTCTGCACTCTCCAACATTTATTTCATTAGAGTTGAAGAGTAAGCCATTTTTGCTGCTGCCTACTTATTACTGTCTTTCCCCCAAGGCCTATCTATTTTTAACCCTTGAAACAGATGCTTTCAAGTGTGGTAGTGGGCACATGTAATTCTAGTACTCAGGAGGCAGGAAGATTATGAATGTGAGGCAAATTCAGGCTACAAGTGAGATTCTGTCTCAAAAAACTAATAACAAAATTATGGATGCTAATGATGTTTTTAGAAAGAGCAAGGTCACCTGTAGAACTAATTTAAATGCAAAATAAAACATCATTTGGAATTAGGGGCAGCTCCTGCCCTCTTCTCCCTTGACTGTTCTAGCCAAGCTCAGTAGAATGTCCACATATATAAAGGCACAGATGTATCAGTGAATACTGAGTTGGTCTTGTGTTTCTGTTTATTTCCAGGTGTGGTCACTCGCCTATTTACCGCTCTCGTGAGATGGCAGCTCGTGCCTTGGTTCCATTTGTTATGATAGACCAAGTTCCTAATACTATCCGAGCTCTGCTGGCCACCCTTCCTAATAGCACTGACCAGTGTTTCCGGCAAAACCATATTCATGGAACACTTCTCCAGGTAAGTAAAGTTACTTTGTGTAATTTCTGTCAAACACCATAAGATAAACTTTGGTTTCTCATGTACTGTTAGCAGATAAAGATTTGATACACAGGCTTTTAACTTTTGTCTGTAGAATTTACTCCTGAGAGATCACAAATCTCACAGGTATGCTTTTCTTTTCATCCCAAACATGAATGCAGTGTTGCATTTTGATTCTGTCAGATTATCCTCTGCATTAAACCCTCTGTTTTCTGCATTATTTTCCATCAAGGATGCCTAAGGAACATTCTGGGCCACCCCCGTTCAGGCTGAAGCTGTGAGCATTCCTTGAGAGAAAAACTAGCTCAAGAGGTCCAGGGAGAGTTATACACATTAGAAACAATTGCTCTGTAGCACAGATTAATAGTACATGGAAATATTAAACCTTTTTAATATTTATTTATTTATTTTGAATAAATATTCAAGTTTGTTGTTGTTACTAACAACAGGAAAGAACAATGAGTGAGATATAAGCTTCTTAATGAAACTGACCTATTTAAGTCCTGTCTTGAGGACAGGTAGTGTTGGTAAAATCTTCTGTTCACCTGGCCACTGTGTTCATTCACATGGGTGTGGGGCTGCTGTGGAATTTAAATGTCAGTTCATGTTCCTGGTGTAGGAACAGAGTTGAGAGTTGGCCTTAAGATCCCTGTACATGTTATAAGCCTGAGGTCTACACTGCTAACACAGGAGGCAGGGTGTAGAGTGGTTTATAGCATGACAGTCTGAGCAGATTGCCCTGGTTTCAATCAAGTATACACCCCGAACTACTCACACCTCTGTGTCTTCATTTCTGAAGCTATTGCAATAGTTGCATATACCTCATGAGGAATATGTGAAGTCTAAATTAATTGGTATATATAATGTTTTTAGAGTATTACATAATATGATAGAAAGTTATTACATCATAATTTTTAATGAGCCTGTCCTATAGTGAAAACTAATATTTTTAGTAACTAATTTCCCATAGGTAAGAATGTAATACCTACCTTGTCTTCTTTGGTTGCTTTATATATTCAACAAGTATTTATTGAATGCCTATAATGTGTGGCTGTGCTAGAACAATGACTAAGTCAGTCCTTGGTGACCAACTTCTTCTGAAGGAGACTAGGGGCAATAAACCACCAGAAAATAGGCAATCACAATGCAGTGTGCTAAGTGCTGGGTAAGCACATGTCAGGGCCACCTCACCTGTCTTGGGGAAATCAGGGAAAACATCATAGAGAAGGTGACATCTAAGCAGAGACTGAAAGAAAGTAGTCAAGTGAAGGGAGGGAAAGAGTTTCCCATGCAGAGTATCATAGGAATCCTAGAACAATTCTTCAGGTAGGCAAGAAGTCAGCCCATGTGGGAACTGCAAGTTTGGGTCAAACTGAAGTTCTAGGTTGGTAGTTTTCAGTTGGTCTCAGGATTTCTTTGCATACTTACTGAGGTTCCCAAACAGCTTTTACCTCTCAATATTTAAATCAAAAATGAAACTGAGGAAATATTAAGACAGAGAAACCCATAAGCACATACTACATTTATCGTCAGTAAAGACATCCCTTGAAACCTCTGCATACTCTGCTGCACATCATGAGAAAATGAAAGTGAAGGGCTCCCAAATGCCCTAGACTGCACTTTGGGATCATCTGCTTTGTGTTATGTACATTATAGGCCTTTTGTGGTTTCTTACTATAAACTCTTAACCACTTACCTACCTTGAGTTTCACTACATCTGTGATGACGCAGAGCAGGAGTTACTATCTTGGTTGTAGAGATGGGCTGCATAGGCCCAAAGATCATCATTTGCTCAAACAAGTTAGATTTCTTGGGTCTGTCACTCTGCTGCTACTTTGAAAGAAAAGGGCTAGTGACAACGGGGAAAGCATAACAGGTTTTTCAAAGTGGAAACTGTAGCTAAGTTAGAAGGCATGCCCAGTTGTCAAGGGGATCAGCTGCCAGACTGTCTTGAAGAGCCATTCTTAGCTGAACTTTGGAAGAAGTAAGGTTGAAGTTGCTTCTGCACTCTTTCAACCAATTGTATGAGTGGTCCTCTCCACCTAATGTTCCCCCCACGACTGGTAGTCTGGCTGTGCTTCATCAGTCTGCCCAGCAGCCAAATATGATCTTTTACTCTATCTCTGGGAATGCTAAAAGCCTTTTAACTTAGGTTGTGTGGCTGTTGCTTTTGTTCCTAAGTATTGGTGAGATGAAGGACTTGTTAGAAAAAAAGCCAGTAATGTGGGTGCTGGGTATTGTATTCATGTTTGTCAAACAAACTCGTCTTTATCAAGGTGGTTTCACCCTGATTAAAAAAAGGAAGTAATAAGTATTTGTGTTTGTCCATTCATATGTCACATCTGTGTTGTAATAAATAGCTCTGTTTCATCCCATGGCTCTTTATGGGGAAAGTTTAAAGGGTTAAGTTAAGGAGAAATCTATAGATTATAGCTTCCTTCTCTACATAAAGCTACCTTTGAAACCAGCAAGAACTTGCACCTGGAAAAGAGATACTAGGGACTGAAAGGAATGATAATCTCTATGGGACCTTCAGAGCCAGCTAAGTAAATATAAAATTGTTATTTTTTTCAAGAGCAGGAAATCATTTTGTAATCAGAAAACAAATTCTTTCACAGAACATTTCCTTGAATTATACATTTTGATTTCTTTGAAAATGTTTACACAAATATATCAAATCTCAGAATACAGCTATAGTATACCTTAAAAACAAGAAATGTGCTGATATCTGAATTTTTGGGAACTATGGAAAAAAGACTCAAATTATAAGATATGCATAAAAAGAACATGTGGGTTTCATTTCTTAATCATGTTCAAAACCAGAGGATCATAATTGCATGCTGAAATGGATGGAAATAGTGCACATTAGAAAAGGTGAAATTATGCAGCAGGTTCTTAAGAGCCAGGGGTAAATGACATTAATCTCAATAAAGGCCAGATAAGAGCCATGGACATTACCTCATTTGGGAGCAACACTGACAAGGCTACCCTCCCTGTCTTTTAAGCAGAATTAACTGTCTGTTTTTATTGCCGAAATTCTTCATGTTGGGGGCTTAACATTATTACTGGGTTGCTTATCACTCCCAAGAAATTATATTGCAGTTTATAAAGTTCTCTTGTATTGAGGAAGAATTTGGCCAACAATCCTGAGGAAAGATTTATTCTGATTGTTGTGTATTTAACTAACACTTTAGTGTTTTAAAAAAAGACGTGTATCACTTGAAGAAGAATTTGAATTTGGAGTTGGTTTATTTCTTGTCTCTCTTGGTTATTTTTTCAGATGGTGTAAACATATAAAAATTGATCCCTGCTTTTCCTGTAATGAAGCTCTTTTATACCAAAAAAGCAGAGTAGACAGTGAGATGCTTTAGGCTGTTGAAAAGTAGAAATACCACTTTGCATTTATCTGAATATTCTAGGCAAGAGTATTCTTTTTTCTTCAGTTAATCTAAATAATTACCTCAGTGTCACACATCCCTTTCCTGGTCTGAATATAATCTACACTTTTCTCCTAGTGCTGGTTTTACATTTTTTCAGTTTTTACCAGCAGAGCATGCCAAACATTTTAATTCTTTTATTCCCTGCCCTGCCCCCAACCAATTTGGAGCCTTGATTTCTGCACTTTAAGAATTTTGATAGGCTGGTGGAGTGGCTCAAATGGTAAGAGCACTTGCCTAGCAAGCGTAAGCCCAAACCCCAATTTTGGAGGCCGCGGGGGTGGACTTTTGAGTTACAAAGATTCCACTTTTCTGGCTGTGGAGCTGAACAGCAGTGCCGCCTACTTGGGTGATATGAAATATCAGCCAGTGATGAACTTAAGATAGCCTAGGCCCATACGTTTGGAAAGTTTACCATAAGAGAACTAAAACGAACATTTTGGGTACCTCCTGCATGCCATGTGAGTTCCATATGTGAGTTCATTCATACTTTAAGCAGCTCTGCAAGGTAGTAAAATGGGTGTCATGTTCTCTGTGTGTCTCTTGGCCTCTCGGTAATGAAAAATTTGAGGTAAGTCTGAGAGGGCAACTTGCATAAAGTTACAGAGGTAGTCAGTGATAGAGTTAAGATAATAAACTCTAAGCCTGTGTTCTTTTTGTCTTTAGAGTATATGGAAACTTTTTATGGGCAGGGAAATTAAGCCAAGAATCTATCTCTGCTCTGGTTTTATCCCTTATCACTTGATTGGTCTCCTTAAGTCCAGTGTGATTCGATACCTCAACATTGAAAGTAAAGTCAGTCCATCAGTGTTATAAAAATGGACAAAGGGAATTGCTGAAACCCAGAGAAGCTGTAGCTAGAAAAAGATACATTGTATTCTCCCTCTACTGGTTTCTCTCATCTTTCTCTTTGGTCTTCCATTTAAGACTCCTGGCCTGGAAATACAGAATCCTCCCTTGAACCCAGGCTATAACTATGTCCACAGTAGCTATATGTTCTGTCATCCCTAAAGTCTTGGAAAAAAAACCCTCTCAAACTTGGGCAGCCAAGGAATTACGGATTCTGGGTCTGAGAGCTAATGGGACCATGGGAAAGTGGTCAAGACTGAACTTGCAAATATCCCATGCTTACCCTGTTCTAGGTGCTATTGAAATACAGGGAGTTTTCCTTTAAGGCTTTTTTACCTGTCAGTGTGGGGAGCTTGGGTTAAGCCAAATGACCCCTCTGTGACCAGAGTATAGTAACAAATGAAGAGGAGGCGAAAGATGAAGCAGCCAGGCAGCATTTTGGTCATAAAAGCGATACAGAGCAACTAAGGCCATTTCCGCATGTCTGGAGCACCTTGATGTGCTCTGTGTGAAGATTAGTCAGGATCTCCATGTAGATGGGAATAGTAGAGCTGGGCTGACAGGTACAACATTCTTCCCCTTTGTAGGGAAAAAAAGCAGAAACCTGGAAAGAATTAATGGTAGGCCAAGTTGGCTAGCTGGTGATGCGAAGCAATTACTGTTCCAGAAGTAGGGATTGGACCGCCAACCCCC